CTCTATCTCTCTTGCATTTCCTTGGACAAATTATTTCTCTTATTGTTGCTTAGCCTTTTTTTTCACAATCTACATGAATTTATGTCATGTTCTCTATTTTGTTTTATCGTCTGGAGATTTTCTCTCTCTACTGTAGATTTAATTTACGTGAAACATATCCAATAACTTAATGTTAAAGGTTTTTTCTATCCTCTGTCCTTACACAAGATAAGCATACAAAATATGGAATCGATCTAGTTCAAATTTTAAACATTACCATCTACCTCCTAAATTACTGAAAACATTTTAAACGTTTCCAAACAACCAACACCCAAACTCACTTTTTATCATGTGCCCTAAGGACACGGCATAGAAGAACCCATGTCAAAAATGAAAATAGAGCTACCAATTAACATTGCTGATTTACATTGTTTGGAACTTCAATATGGTAACCATGAAAAACCTCTTTTCACGACCTGTGGAAGTTTGGAACTTAAATACGTGTAAAAAAAATCTACTTTTCGTGTCTATATCACAGTTATTAAACCCGACCCGGTCCGGTAGTCAAAACGGTAGAACCAGAGACCTGGCCATTAGATCGAGCCGGGTTTCTAATTTGACCAGACAAGGAAGTAACCTGCTGGAAAACCATTCAAACCCGCGGTTGAATCGTAAAACTGGAGACCCAGATGAATTTCTCAAAACCCGGTGGGTTAGGAGAAAATGAGTCAAATGACTCAAATAGTCAAATTGACCGTTGGCTTAAGCAATTTATCTTGTGATTCTTGACTTCTTGTCTAAGTCTTGACTGTTGACCAGACCTCAAGAAAAATAGGGCAGCAAATGCTTAACTTCTGAACGCAGAGCCACAGAGACTCAAGCCGCAAATTCGTCTGTAACTTCTCTTCTCTATCTAATGCTTAATTTTTTCGCCATTGTCAAGCTTACAAACATAGACTTCAAAATTCTTTCTTAATCTTTGCCTTTCTCATTCTTCTAAGTGTAAGGATCGAAGACAACCAAGTGGAAGAGATAAACAATGTAAATATCACAAACGTAAAAATAAGTAAATAAAAAGGAAAGAATTGCAAACCAATTAACTACCCAACTCCTCTTGAACTTGTAGATTAATTCAAACAAGCTTTTTCAAGTTGATGAATTACAATCACTCTTGTGTACAAAGGAAGGTTCACCTCCTCCTTGTCCCGAACTCCACTTGGTCAAGTTAGGACGTTTTACTATCCCTCAGAACAACCCTCATAGAGCTACACTCATGAAGTATTCACTCACAAATGAAAAACTTACAATGAATCTCACACCACTAAGACTACAAATCTTGCTTGGAGAGTATTTTTTTCACTAAAATCACTCTAGATCTTTTGTATGTTTAGTGTACAAAAATTGTTTGAAATATCTGACCAACCACTATTTATATAGGACAAAAAAAGTGCCTCATTAATGCTTCAAACGGATAGAAAGTAGCTGATCAGTCAACTAGCCGTTGGAGTATCGGACATCCGGTACTCCTATTTTTTGCGTCCGACAGCAGGTAGTGAGTTTGAGAAATTTTCTTCAATTCTATCGGACGTCCGGTGCAAACTCTTTGTGCGTTCGACAGCAAACAAAGAGATTTGAAAAATCATCTTGTTTCTATCGGACGTCCGGTGAAGACATATTCAGCGTCCGATGGTTTCGTCGATTTTGAAGGATCCTATCGGACGTCCGATGCTTGCGTCCGATCAGTGATCCAGGGATAATGTCTTATTTCCTTCGGACGTCCGGTGGTGGAGTTCTTCGTGCGTCCGAAGTTACGCAATGATTATCGGACGTCTGATCCAAGCGTCCGACAGCTTTCAGCAGCCATTGTCCCTTTCAATTACACTTGATCTTTGAATCTGATTTGCTTCACAACTGAAAATATTTCTTGAAGAGATATTAGAATTATCCATTATTTTGTAAATATCAAAAGCTAGGGACCAAGATCAACATTCTCCCCTTTTTTGATGATGACAAAACAATGGATGGAAGAAGGAAAAAAATTTTGCATATGAGAATAAACTCCCCCTCACTCATTGCATCAAAAAATATTATAAATTCAGAAAAACTCCCCCTTTCACATAGCATCCATTTCTCCCCCTTTTTGTCATCATAAAACTTCAGTAATATTCAAAAATATCAAGGAAAACTCAGTTGAAAATATCAGAAATATCAAAAGAAAATTATAAAAAAAGCATTGAACAAGAATCTCATCAATCTTATCAATATCTCCTATTTGTTAGAGTTAACATCATATCTAACTATCCACATGCATTTCATGCCTCTTCTCATATTCTTTCTCACATAACAATCACTTTTCATGTGACCTTTTTGACAACAAAAATTACACATAACCAAAGAGTTATTTACATGAACAGGTTTAATAAATGTTACTTGTCTTCTCTTATAAATAATAAATTCATTTTCAGCAGAATTTATCTTCTTCTGATAAGTGCCAAAATAAGGTTTTGATTTATTACTTTGAAAACAGTCTTGTTTTGTATATTGGAGCAACTCATTTAAATTATCCATTCTTTTTTTCAAATCACCTTGTTCCTTTTTGAACATTTCACAAAGTTTTATTTTTCTATCAAACTCAAAGTGTAAAACAGTCTCACTCTTTTTTAAGAAATCACTTTCAATTTTCAGTTTTTTGTTTTCTTGAAAAAGACGTGCATTGTCCTGAAGAAGAAAGCTAATTTTATGTTTTAATTCCTTGTTTCTAGTATAAAATTCTTTCAAACTATCATACAATTTTATAATGAAAAATTCAAGATCATTATCAATTTCATCATTACTTTCAAATTGAGAGTTAGAAGATGTTATCTCATCATCTCCAATGGCCATAAAAGTCAATTGAGCAGATTTTTCTTCCACTTCAATTTCACCATCGGAATTGCACTCATTCCATGTGAATTGAAAGTTGTTGAATCTTGGTTTTCTTTCAACTTTCCTCTTCTTCATTCGACACTCATTCATGTAGTGTCCAAATTGGCCGCATTCATAGCATTTGTCACCTTGTTTTTTGTTGGCCTCATACTTTTCTTTGTATCTTACATTGTTGAATTGATTAGAATCTGAATTGCTAGATTCTCCTCTTCTAAATCTCCTTTTGTTGAGAATTCTTTTAAAACTTCTTGTTATGAGAGTAAGATCACTGTCATCCACTTCCATATCTTTTTCATCCAAGGAGGCCGAATCATCTTTATTTTGAAATGATTTTAGAACAATGCTCCTTCTTACCTTTGCATCCTTTTCCTCTTGCACTTTGGACTTAAGTTTCAGCTCATAAGAGGTTAAAAAATTAATAAGAGATTCAATAGGCATAGTATTCAAATCTTTAGTTTCTTCAATAGCAGTTACTTTACTTTCCCAATCTGTAGACAAAGCATTCAGAATTTTTTTATTTTTCTCACCTAGAGAGTATTCTTTTTCCAGCACCTCTAAGTCCTTAATGAGCTCGTTGAATCTACAGTACATCTCATCAATATTTTCATGAGGTTCCATCTTGAACGATTCATACTTGGTAACCAGAATAGAATTCTTTTGTTCTCTCACATTCTCACTTCTTTCATGAATTTCTCTAAATTTGTCCCAGATTTCTTTAGCGGACTTACAACCATTGACTTTAATAGATTTATTTGAGTCTAAAGCACAATATAACACATTCATGGCTTTTGTATTTAAGGTGAGATGAGCTCTATCCACAGCAGTCAGTTCACTTCTTATTTTTGGTCTAGATCTATGAGTATTTTCATCTATAAGAGAGGTATCATATGAACCTTCACTAATAATAAACCACAATTCAATATCAATAGATTGCAAAAGATAATCATTTTTTCTTTCCAACTCACATAATTTGACCCATTAAACATCGGTGGTCTAATGTCAGAATGTCCTTCAAAAAACATAGCATTATTGGTTGTTATTTTTACTCCCAAGTCGATTGAGTTTAATCTCTAAGAGACCAAACTCTGATACCAATTGTAAGGATCGAAGACAACCAAGTGGAAGAGATAAGCAATGTAAATATCACAAACATAACAATAAGTAAATAAAAGGGAAAGAATTACAAACCAATTAACTACCCAGTTCCTCTTGAATTTGTAGATTAATTCAAACAAACTTCTTCAAGTTGATGAATTACAATCACTCTTGTGTACAAAGGAAGGTTCACCTCCTCCTTACCCCGAACTCCACTCGGTCAAGTTAGGACGTTTTACTATCCCTCAGGACAACCCTCGCAGAGCTACACTCATGAAGTATTCACTCACAAATGAAAAACTTACAATGAACCTCACACCACTAAAACTACAAATCTTCCTTGGAGAGTATTTTTTCACTAAAATCACTCTAAATCTTTTGTATGTTCAGTGTACAAATGTTGTTTGAAGTATCTGACCAACCACTATTTATAGAGGACCAAGAAAGTGCCTCATTAATGCTTCCAACGGATAGAAAGTAACTGATCAGTCAACTAGCCGTTGGAGTATCAGACGTCTGGTACTCCTGTTTTTTGCTTCCGACAACAGGCAGTGAGTTTGAGAAATTTTCTTCAATTCTATCGGACGTCCGGTGCAAGCTGTTTGTGCAGCCGACAGCAAACAAAGAAATTTGAGAAATCATCTTGTTTCTATCGGACGTCCGATGAAGACATATTCAGTGTCCGATGGTTTCATCGATTTTGAAGGATCCTATCGGACGTCCGATGCTTGCGTCCGATCAGTGATCCAGGGAGAATGTCTTATTTCCTTCGGACGTCCGGTGGTGAAGTTCTTCATGCGTCCGAAGTTACGCAATGATTATCGGATGTCCGATCCAAGCGTCTGACAACTTTCAGCAGCCATTGTCCCTTTCAATTACACTTGATCTTTGAATCTGATTTGCTTCACAATTTAAAATATTTCTTGAAGAGATATTAGAATTATCCATTGTTTTGTAAATATCAAAAGTTAGGGACCAAGGTCAACACTAAGTCTTATCAACTTTGGCAAGAATTAATTTTGCAGCCACTGTTCATCACATTTTTTGTGCGTAAGTTCTAATTTTCTCTATCTAATTTCAGCTTATATTTATGTGATTCTTTTTTTGGTTGGTTGTTGAATTATTCCTGAGCTCATAACTTTAGATGTTTCTACTTAACAGGGTTCTTTTTTTGGAACCTTTTAGGTGTTTGTGAAAATGTTTGTTAGGAACATTTTTAGTAAAAATAGTTGAAACTTGAAACATGCTTGTGGATAAGCTAAATTTTGAGATTTTGACCCCGAGAATTATCAGCTAATGACATCTTAAGAGTTTTGAGAGTTCAATATTGAAGTGATAGATCAATCCACTGTTCTTTCATGATTAACCTCCTCAACACACGCAGAAGCTCTGCAACAAAATTTGCAATTGAAACTTAAGAGAATGGAAAAAGAATCTTAATTAAAAGAAAAGGAAAAAAAGCAACCATAGAAACAAAAATCAGCTGCGATTGATTTAGTTTCATTTTCCATGGCTTTATATCATCTTATGCACCATAAAAGATAATTCACCTTTTGATGCACAATTAGCTTCCTACAGCTGCCTTAATTAGCTTACTAGAGCCAGTAATCCAATAAACACAAAAGTCCATAGTAACTTCCTGCAGTGCTCAACCATCTCAACCATTGGAGAGATAATAATACTCTAAAAGCTAGTTGCTTACCAATAATAACCTTATGCTAATTTTTGCTGGTATGATGACTTTTAAAAAAAGTTGAGCTAATTAAATGATTACCTTATGCAATTCTTGAGCCAAAATTTCTTGCTTCATTTGGTACATTTAAAAATACAAAGCTGAAGGTGATTTTGGAAGAGTTTCTGCAATAAGAGATCGTAATGCCATGCTCCCAGAATGCACATTAGTGAATTACAAACAAGAATTTCATTTTTTGATTATTAGATTCCAATTTCATCTTCTAATTTTTTTTAAACTTATTTTAATAGATGAGTAGTGGACATGGTATGGTAGTAGCGCGCCTCATTTACAAAAATTAGCTGTACGTATTTTAAGCCAAACTTGTAGTGCTTCTGGATTTGAAAGGAACTGGAGTATCTTTGAACATATCCACTCGAAAAAAAGAAACAGATTGGAACATCAAAGATTGAATGACTTGGTTTATGTCCACTATAACTTGAGATTACAACAAAGGTATATTATTGCCTAGTTCTTATTGAAATATCAGATTTTCTCAAATAGGATGAGATATTTACATTAGCACTTTTTTGTGTTGCTTAGAAATGCAAGGGGAAGAAACTATGACCCTATTGATTTTGGGGAGTTCAATACAAATGAGACTTGGATTTTAGAAGAAGAACCTCCAACTTTGACTGTAGCTGAATTGGAAACTTTTAGGAATGAATTGACAGCATGTGATATCCAAAGCAACTCACAAAATGGTAAGTAAATCGGTATTTTTACTTGTCTAATTTATTCATTTAATTATTACTACATATGAGTGATTGGTGTCTATCTTTATTCTTTTGTTTTACTTTTCTGAATTTGGATGAAGTAGACAGTGCTGATGAAGATGATACCAACAATGAAAACAATGCTGAAGGAAATGAACCTAATTAAAACTGCATGGATGATCCAACTCAAGGTGGTTATGAATTTGGTAGTAGTTGGGAACCGTGGAAATGATAAGTTTAGAAGATAGTTGTCATTGATTCAATTTGTTATCCTTGTTTTTTTTCATTTAATGATTGGAAGCTTGAAAGTTACAAGTTTGAAACACTTGTTTTATGTTAATGTTAATGGATGAAACCAGATGGAACTTTTGGGATATATAATGAGGTACTATAATATTTTAAGATGATGTAATGCAACTTTAAAGTTTGAAGTTTGAATAATTGAAGTTCAGTAGGGGAGTTGTCTGAATTACACAAAAGTAATTTATATTTTTAGTATTTTGTATAATTTTAATTATTAGTAATATAAATATTTAATTATATTATTTTTAGGACCCGACGATTTAACCAGTCGACCCCCAATTGAACCACTAATCCAGTGACCCGATCCCCTTGCTGGGTTGAGCTCCGGTCCGGATTTAATAACTATGGTGTATATACACGTCTATATAACTTCATTTTTTTGGTAGTAGGAAGTTCAACTTCCTCATAAAAAACAAAACAGATAAAGAAGGTGTACCTATATATTTCAGCAAACGCTTTTAATTCTTAATGAAGATAAACCTACTCAGACAAATACAATCACAAAGTAGAAATTCCACATCAATATATAGGTATACCTAATTTTTCCCATTCAGTTGCTGGGTCATGAAAACACTGGAAAAGATTAAGCAACCAAAAGGGGAAAAAATCCAACTACATTACAAGTCACGATGCTATCCTCAAAATAGAACATCACAACAACATGGCAGGAAGGGGGAAAAAAATTGGTTTGCTCGAGGAAAATGGATAACATCAAGATTTCTTACACGACGAAAGGGAAGGAGAACTAAGTTAAACTAGACTATCTTATTCTAAGCTTTTAAGGAGCCTAAACAACCCAGCTGCTTCTCTTATCCTTGAAAACTCTATACAAAAGGCTTGGACTTCAATGAATAGATCCTGAACTGCATTGCAAATGGTTTGACAACAGTTAGTAAAAGTAGCTCAATAAGAATAAATCAAGGCTTCAAAGAAAAACACTGCCATATATGCACTTAGAACACTAGATTTAAAACAGATCAAGATGAACAACATATTCATAAAATTTGAATTGGACTTTCATATTCATCGATTCTTAACTGAAAATGGAGGAGACACCGAGAGCGCCATTGAAAATATTCGAATCCCAACAACCTGTTACTGTCCAGAATTACTTAAAATACTAATTCCAAGTCTTATGTTTTTTCAGATAACTGAAAAATTAGCTTGCAGGATTGCTACTTACCTGGAATTCTAATACCAGTGAAATATTTGCCTTTAAATCACCTTATACGTTTGTTGACTAGTACGGAAAATAATTCTAATAAGATATCTAATGTAAATTTTGCATGCACAAGGAAGCGTAAGTTACTCAAGCAAGGAAATGTTCTGCAAGGAAAGGATTTCGACATATAACAAAAACCCCTATAAATCAACAGATGAAATAAATTATCTTCCGTAGAGTTCAGTTTCATTCAAAAACTTCGAAAATTTTGACTCGGCAATGGTGTCATTAAAATTTTACCTGTTTACAAACGAACCACTAGGCCATAATTAACTGAATTAATTATCTCTTCAACTACATAAGTCTAGCATTGCTTCGTTAATAATTTGTCAATCCATTTCATGTTGTCTAAATAATGCAATTATTCTTTTTAGTTATCCAACAATGTTAATGAAAAAGTTGATTGGGCGATTAAGTTCATCTTCCACTGTCTAAGGGTTGTACGCAAAAGCAACATATGCGTACTCCTGCTGACACAAAATAGTCAAGAAATAATGACAATGAGTTACAAGAGGAGTAGAACCATCATTCAATACATACTTCATATGCAGGTACAAATAATAGTACAATACTAGCAAAAGAACACCTAATTTAACTCCATTAAGTACTTACACTAAATATCTTTTTCAGATTTTGGTTACATGATTAGGTCATCACTAAAAAAATTTCTTCTTAATATGAACTTATGCGCCATTCTCTATTGTTTTCAAATCCCACAGCTGTCGATGATCCTTCCAGGTTTTATGCAATTGATGTGTTTCAAGGTACATCAGGCATTATGTTAGGCTTTTAACCATAATTTCACAGTTCTAGTTCTTAGGTTTGGCTCAATGGTTTGACAAATCAACTGCCTTCACATTATATGTCTATTCAAACTAAAAACATACTGACAAAACCCAAGGGAACTTGTATCGACCAAATGGCAACAACCAATGCACCACCCAACTGAACGCACCAACTCACGAACCCATCCTTGAGGGCAAAGAACACGTGCACTCAAAGTCACAAATAAGCAAAAAGATGGACGAGAAATGCCAATAAAAAGAAGAAAACCAAAACCAAGATGAAACATCAATTATGTTATCAAAATTTTCACAAGTATGCCCAGCTGTTCAAATATCAAAGCTGAGACAATCAGAAGCCAATCTCAACCCAATCCCTGAAGCATGTATGTCTATGAACTGAAGCACCTTGTACAGATCATTACTAAAAGCTCACTAGCTCTATATTAAAAAGGCAAAAGGCATTATGTATTCCATGTTTCTCCTCACTCATCTTTATTTTTCTTTTTAAATGTAAGCTTAACAGGTAGACATAATATGAGAGAAGCATGACTTGAAACGCATTACCCTTCAGAAACCATCTGCAAACATTGTAACTTCCAAATCATACATTTTTTATTTGAAAGGAAACAACTCCAACCTATTCATGATTGCAGGTTCTCTCTCTTTTTTAACAAAGCACCAAGTATAGGTTGGGGGTTCTGAAATAGATCTTTCATTTTATTAGAAATATTTTAGTACATCAAGAAGAAAGTATAACCAATATGCAATCTATCCAATCTAAGATTCTCCTAGCAAATTTTGGAATAAAAGTTAATCTTTAGCCTTCATTCCATTGTGAGTCGCAGCCTAAATTGGCCAAAAACTCTGCAAGATGATTGCCTTCTCTACAGATATGGCTGAAGGTGAATCTATGCTCTCTAATCCACCTCTTAATTTGGCAGATAATTTCATCAATTCTCCTAAACAGCTATGAACCAACCATTCACAATTTTCTTTAATATTTGCAAATCAACTTGTGCCTGAACCATAAAAGGATTCCATGACATGCACAGCTCAGTCCCCTCTTCTATGGTGTTCATTATTGTGATTTACTAAAAGCGAGCCTACTGAAAATGCTTATATGCCCCTGACTTTCCTCACATAAACAAAATATATGCTGAACTTTAATTCTTCACAACAGATTGATGACTGGACACCCTAGGTCTCAAATTGTCCATGATTGCAGATATTGCTGATGAGGCTTTACTGGAAATCTATTTTGGACCACCATAGTACCTAACAAGATGCTCTAATTTCCAATTCAGAAAGAACACTGCATCTGACAGCTATTTCTTTGCACCTACTTGCTTATTTTCTATGAATCAACATTAAACCAGGCAATACCTACGAATACCAATCCAAGAACGTGAAAAGCAAAAGATAACATTCTCATACATATGAGATCAGAATTCACTTGCCCATGATATCATTCAACAAGGCATTTGTTGTTAACACAATTTGCAGACACAATCGGTCAGCAGTAGCATCTATAGTCACCCAAGAATAGTGTCAACTATATGTTGAACAGCAGACTCACCATTGATTATTTTATTCCGGATCAGGCTCTGCAGGAAGACACACACAAGTCTGACAAGTCTATTCTGCATGTACTTGTCCTGAGAAATGGTAAACAAAGGATTAGAGGATACCAACTCTAGTATTTGCTTAGATCTTCAGGTTTCATCCAATTAATGTACACACAAAGACTCAGACAGCCACATCTGTTATCGTGTGTGCCGATGTTATACACATATGCACACATACGCAGGTGAAGATGAGAGAGAGAGAGAGAGAGAGAGAGAGAGAGAGATGTTAAGCCTATAAATGGCATCCAAATTTCATCCCAAGAATTTTAAGCATTAAAAGAAAAATCATGTTTACAGTTTAATGGAAAACACAAGTTTTGTTCCTGAAAAGTTGACAAGTTAAAATGTTCTGTTAGCATTAATTACCTTCATGTGCCAAAAATATCAAATTGAACCTATCATATGAATATCTAATAAAAGTTATTAAAAAGTGTTTGCAAGCCATCTCCATTACCTATCATTGCAACAAATCCTTGCTTGAGTTAAATAAGGATTTCAGCTCTCAATTAGCTTCCATAGCTTTAGACTAAATTTCACACTCCAATTCAGCCATAATTGCCCTCAAAAATTGACGTATCAGATATTCATCTCATTCTAGAAATGTAACTCAAACAAGAATTATTTTCAAATAGACAGCCATAACAAAAAGAGCATCAAACAAGGATTGTAACCTTTAGCCTCTGGAATTGTCAGCTACCACAGTACATGTCTGTCTTGATTGAAGCAGGAAATTATAGACTTTTCAATGGATAAACATAATTAGCGGAAAGAACTATACCACGGCAAAAATCAATGCCTGGATTATTTGCAACTGGCATACGTTCTCTTCATAAAGTTCAATGAAGCTATTCACCTAAAATCATGTCATGGAGATGACCTACCACAGTATTCTGATAGATCACGTCATGTTATTACTGTTTAATACACGAAGCCCCCCCAACAAAAAAAATTAGAAGACAATTAGAAGAAGAGATGGAGAGAGAGAGAGAGCTAAAATAGAACCATGATGAGGTCAAAGGTTTAAGGGTTTCAATGCGGGGTTGCGGAAATTGGGAAGTACACCAAAGCATAGAGAGGACTAAGAACCTTGGCGTTCTCACAGGAAGATATACAGTTCGTTATATACAAATGAATGAATTCAGTCGGTAGTTCGACAGCTGTAGTAAGCCTGTTAACCACTTCCATTGAATGAAGGCTCATATCCATATTGACAAGAACAGTGAAATACCTGCATTCATAAACAAATTTGTTGCCGAAACACTAATAAGATTAAGTTTCATGTACTATAACATAAAAAGATGAACATACTCTTCAATTTCAGGTGAATTTGCAAGCTTAACAAGAACTTCAACTGCAATGATAGGATTATTCTCCACAAGTTCCTGATAACCAAACAAAAGAACTCTCGAATTCAGGAAATTACCACATAGAACACATCGATATGCCTATAAAATAACATACTGGCAGCTTTCTTGGTGTCAGCCCACAGTGATATACAAGCTTTGGATCATTGGCCAACTCCAATAAGACTTGCTGGACAACAGTGCATATAAGGAATTCAGCACACGTCTGACAGCAAAAAATAAGTTTCAAATCTTAAACACCTCAAGAAAGATAAGGTGTAAACACCTCCCGTTGAGCAGGTGCAAGTGGCCCTTTCAAAGCTTTTGCAATCAAATCCCTAACAGCTGCTCCTCTGCTAGTGTCAGCACACATACCATGATCCCACATCAGCTCATGAGTATTATCCGGATTTAACCACACCAGCTGTACAAATAATAAGATTTTAGTGAAGCAAGAGTTATGTAGATTACTCTTTCTGGGTAATGAGCTTAATGTTGGTGCCCTTACTTCTCCATCTAGCACTGGTAGCCTCGGTGGTTGTGGTCTGATCCATTGAGGACCTAATCCTTCCAATGATAAATTTTGCAGCAATCCACTTATGGTCTCATCCCTATCCCCAGATCCAGTCTTGGGTGTGACTCCAGGTTGCAGGTCAAGCCTGACATTTAAGCACAAGGCTATTGAGAATAAAACAAAATTGATTGTGTCAGGAAGCAATAAGCAAATTAGCACGCGAGTGTGCAAGCTGGATATGCCTCAAGTATTTAGACCACAAAAGAGATGGACTGCTCATATTACTAGAAAGAACACCTACTCTGTCGAATTGGGATCACAGCCCAGTGGAACATCGGGATCTGGCAAGATATTTATCACACGATTCCTGAACAAGCTACCAAATAATACTGGGCCAACTTTACTACAATACTGCTGCTGTAGCTGCTCACTAGGAGGAAAAGTCTGAAGAATGCATATTAGAACATATTATTCAAGAAAATATCAAATTTGATGCTATGACAAAATATATAACTCACATGTGATGAAGGAACAAAGTTTCTCATGTAATCTGCAACAGACAATTTCAGGACCTGCATTAAAAAGCCAACAGAAAAAATAGTTTGGACCTAGAATAAAATAAACATTCCGCAGACAACTAGAGGATGATGATATTTCTATGGATAGATTAGCTTCAGTTGCAGAGTCAATGCACAAATCTTTAATTATCCAAAAAGGGGAACAAAATATTTGTACAAGAGAAAAGAAAAACTGCAAGGGATATTTCCCTTCAAAGAAAGGACGAGTTGTCTGCCTTGCATTTTGCTAACAAAAAACATTTGCAGGAGGAAAATCTACAACATATGATGTGCTTGAAGTTCATGCAGGCAATAAACCATTTGTCACAACAGGGTAGCTAGAGACTACTTGTCTCTTCTTATATGAGCTAGTAAATTGGCTAGGACAACCCCAAAGATCATAATAAATCTAAGAGAAATCAAGAAAAGAAAAAAAAATAGAATTGGAATGCTTCCCAATTTTATCTTATGTGAGTAACGGCCAGGGAGATAGAGAGAGAACCAATAAATGATAAAAAGTTATTACCTCTTTAACAAATTTAAGTGTTTATTGTGGCCTTGAGTTTCTTCATAGTTCAAGTCTAGAGTATCACTTATTTATTTTTTACCTCTAACAACATAAACAATTCTAAGTCAGTATCCACAGTAAACATATTCTCTATTCTATTTGTTTATTGAAATCATCATCCTGAGTGCAAAAAGTTCCCTAAGGCCCTATTTAGTTAGAAGGAAAGTTATGGGAAGGTAAAGTGAAGGAAAGTAAAGAGCAATCACTTTTTTGTGCAAGTTTGTTTGACAAGAAAAACTTTTACAGATAATATGCAGTCAACGAGTAGTTATTGGGATTATTCTGTGCAACCAACTTTTTCCCTCCGAATCCTGCAAATTTTGCAGGACACAATCCAACAATGAATGGAAATTTAACAACCACCTCATCCAAAAAATTCTACCGGTTAAAACCAGCCAGTAATCTGTTCATTTTTTTTTAAAAATAAACTTAAACTGCTTCTGGTCAACCTGCTCAAGAAGTTCCTTATGCTTCTAACAGTCCACAAAGATAAAGATACTACAAGTTTTAGGCATATATTGCTAAAATATACTTTTGCCAAGAACCAAGATCTAAATGAAAAGTACATACTAAATGTGGTTGGAACAGACAATTCATAGCCCCAAATTTCTGAGATTACCCAGCATTAGAAGCATTACTTAAAAGCCAGAAAAGCCAATAGCATCTACCTTCCTACGTTAACTTGAACAATAATGATTAGAAGCTAATGAAACCTGAATCATTAGAATTTCTCAGGCCTAAAAACTAGACATGCAAATTGGATTGTTAAACGATACCTCTGCTTTATTCGTGGAGTTGGCGGAGCCTAACAATTGAAGAATAAAACCTCTTTCAAATTTTTCAGCTCCTTCATTGGATGCTGCCTACAGACCCACAATAGCAGGAGGAGATACGAAAGTCAACCATCACCAACAACATTCCATAGCAGACAGAAAAGTTATCGCAAGAGGCAAAATTCTGGAGCATTAGATGGATAACAAAAATGTCATATATCAGAAAATATAAACATCTACTTTAAAGCAAATTCCCAATTAATTGTCCCTTTTCTGTTTGCTTTTCTTTCAGTGTACGTGGGGAGAGGGGAACCAGATACTAGTCCTGCAACTACACATCCACTTTATACTAAACTTAGTATATAAGCCATATGTGATAATGCTTTTCCACTGTTCAGAAGTTATGTGCACGTTCAAACTTAGGAATCATTTGGTCTTTCTGCCTTTGGATGAACAGTAAGTTCTGTAAAACTTTGTCACAACAATGCTCTTTGTAGGATGGTCTGGTGATTTAAAACCACTGAGCATGACTTTTGGCAACATTTAACAATAAAGGAGCTCAAATAATCTCAAGATACCAATAAAAGTAAGTGCAAGATTACATACCACAAGCCAACTAGACAAAAGTCAAAAGTCATTTGAAGTCTCAGAAATTCACATGGGCCAACATCACATAGCCTATAAATGAGGATTTGTTGCTATTAATTTGTCAACAATTTCATATTCTAGAAGCAAAAAATAGGCTCTCAAAAGTAGTCTTTCCCACAGTAATGGATAGGCCTCCACTTCAGGTTCATGTGATTATGTAAATTCACCGGACTATCAGTGTCTCATACAGCAGACAGTCAAATGACTTGTTACTCCATAAAAACGTTAATTGAAAATACTGTCAGCTTTTCTACTATCACTGTGCATACTACACAGCTGAACAGTCTTACATAGTGCATGATTATTAAAAATTGACCATTAAAAGAGCATAAACAAACTCCTGAGAATAACAAATATGATAAGAAGAAGACATATGCACACTTACATTCACAAGCACAAAACTGAACGGGTTAGAACTAGGCTGCTGGAAAGAATATGCCTGGTGGAGAATTGCAAATCCAACCAGACGCTGTGTTGGTCTTAACACTTTACTCTGCAATAACAGAACATACAACCATTGATGATTGGAATTCCCCATATTAACAGATTAAGAAAGGATAAGGAGAAAAATTTAGCCTTATTTCTGTTTTCATTCACAAGCCAAAAAAGAAGAAAAATATATACCTACAAACATGAGGCCAAATATTATTCTTCTATTTTTTGTTTCAATCCCTAACACTTTTATGGAAAATAAGTATATCGCTGAATTTTAAAACCAAATTTGAAGTGATAGACAAAGACAACATCAACTATAGCATATGCATGCAAACAATGAGTTAGAAGACATATTATCTATCCGACTGAATAAGTCAACTTCCTTTGCCCTAAACTTTGGCTACTTATCCATTCACCAATTACTTGATTACCTTCATGACTGCAAAACCTTCCACTAAATGGACTCCTGACTGCCTATGTCGTATGAATTAAACCCAAATCAGCAATGAGATTTCTAAATCATTTAAATCGATGTTTTCCAAGTCAACAACTTTCATTAGAATGCCAACTCCTAATTTTACAAAATTTCCATCCTCACATAAATCATAACTGAAAACAATGACATGCGAAAAATATCAAATAGAACACTAACAGTCTACCAGAAAAAACCTGTACCACCGACAGCAGACGTAATCATTCATTTTCCTACTAAATAAGATCCTAATTAAAAATCAAGTGTCCATTAATCCACAATCCACCAAATATTTGAGCATCCACAGCCCTAATCAAATAAAGAGATACTAAAAAAATAAAATTTCTACTAATCTACAATCTACAAGACATTTGAGCATACACAACGTTAATCAAATGAAGCGATTTCAAAAAAGAATTCTAAATAAATCCATTTCAGACTAACTCTCGATTAAAATAATTAAAACTGAGTTCTTTTTTCCCAACTACAAAGCTTATTATACTACTACTCTCAATGTTGCTTACAAAAAAAACCTAATCGATAGCACGACCGGAACGTCCAATTACCAGATTTCAGTATATCATCGAAGAAAAACATAGAAAAGAACAAGCAGAATTGAGAGGTTAGGAATTAAAATTTAAAAGAAAATGCCTCGGTGAGTAAAATGGCGACAGAGGAGCAGAAGGCGAAGATGCGAGAAGGCTGGACTTTGGACTTGAATTCCGAGATGAGTTCATCCAACGGCAGCGAATCGCCGCCGTTGAGTAATTTCAGCAGTAAAATTGGTTCCTCCATTCCTAACATCTCTCTTTTCTTCGATTCCTTCTGGTTTTCTGCTCTGTGTTGAGCTCGACGGAGGAGTTTATATGGCCGTGGACCCTCGGCGCTGATCCGGGCTTGGGCAGTTCTTTTATTCTTTTTGTCAAGCTGTCACTTCAATTATTTATTTTGCCCAATATACCCTCCAATATCCACTATTATCTGTCACTTCAATTATTTTTGGTTAAAATGAAGCGATAATTTCAGAAACTTCCCCTAAGTTTTCTGATAATTTCACTAAGCTCCCCTGAAAATTGAAAAATTATATATATCTCCCTTGATTTGATAGTTTTAGTAAAACCTTAAAATAATATTGACTTTGTCAAATTTTAAATGAATATCCAAAAATGCTTGTGTGTAATGAGTTTTAATTTATTTTTCTATATAATTATAGGGAAAATATATTAAATTTTTCATGTCCATACATACTATTTGATAAATAACTATAATAATAATTTTATTACTCTAATAAGATACTTTTAATGGTACTTTATTATGGATTTAGATTTATAAGATAGAAAAGAAAATGTTGAAATAATTCATTTAGAGTTTATGGATTTTTAAAGTAGTGGGATTATCATAATTTAGTAGTGGATTTGGATCATTTCTTTTTTATTTATTGTTAATTTTAGTACCCAAAAAAATACAAAACAAAGATTAGCAAAAAATATTGAATTACATATAAAATTAACTCGTCAAAAACATCACTAGTTCAACATTTGGTTACAATAGAAACTAAAGGCAATAATGGTAGTTCTACAAATTTATTGGTGAGAAATTAAAATAAAAAGGAATAAGAAGGAAAAATAATTAAAAATAATTAAAAAATCCATTCTAAGTATAAGCATATCGAATAAGGGAATTTCATTAAAATATTTAAGGATAAAATTGTCATTTTAAATAACAAGGTAGTTATGTGTAATTTTTCAAATTTTGAGAGATCTCAGCGAAATTATCAAAAACCTCATGAGAGGGGTTTGGGGGCAGCGAGAAAAGAGAGGAGGAGAGAGGAGGGACGAGGGAGAGGAAAGGGGGAGAGAAAGGGAGAGAAAAGAGGAGGGAGGAAGAGGGAGGGGGTGGTGGTGATGAGTGGTGTAAAATTTAAAATAAAATATCCCAAAAATGTTATAAATTATAAAAATATTTCAAAATATACTTTAAAAACTCCTAAAAATACCTCTAAAAATAACCCAAAAATATTTACAGTAAAATATTTACATATATATATGGGAAAAATGCACTTTTCATCCTCAAAGTTTGGGTTCTTGACCAATTTCACCTCAAAGTTTCACCAAAAACACATTTCATCCTCAAAGATCCGTAATTTTGTCAAATTAAGGACAATTGACGGAAATTTACATGTGAGCCGTTAGAACCAACTTTAAACCCAACAAAAATGGGTAAAACTGAATGGAGCCATTTTTTTAATGGAACAATAATTTGCAACGGACAAAAACCAACATTCTTTTCCTTCTTCCCTCTCCTTCATTATGATCCACACACACCGCACTATCCTTCCTTCCTTCCTCTCTTTGCTCTTTCTCTCTCAGAGAGTGAGAGAGAGGGAAGGGGAAATGAGTTTTAGGGATTTTTCCGTTCTTTTCTTTCTCCGCACCTATCTCACCCCTGTCGTTCATGCCTCACGCCTCACGCCTAATGACCCACGACCCTTTCAGTACCCTCATGCCTAATGCTCACGCTATTATCTCTTTCGCTACATTAAAAGCTAGCTAACAAGCTGCAGATGGATTGGTCAAGGAATTAAAGAAGTGTGGTTTTGGGGCCATGGAAAATGGGCTCTTACTGGAAGAGTTTTCACCAACTCTGCCGACCCTTTCGCAAGAAGGGCACATGGTCAGTGTAGCCATTGGCAATTGCATGCATGTACAAGGGCTGCGCTAGTTTTAGCGCTTTCAGTTCTTGTAGCTCCTTCTCCAGCCTCTTGTTCTCGTCCGTCAGCGTCTCGTAGCATTTCTTCAAGAACTCGCAGTCTACTTCCGTTTGCTTAAGCTTCGTCCTGCGTATAGCCAAGAAAAAAGCCCCCCTCCATTATTTCAAATAGACAAAATTTATGCATATCTCAAAAAACTGGCTCGCACGATCGATTCTGTTTTTCCTCAACATTGTTAATCTTCGGGAATGAGGGATGAAGAAGCAAGTACCTGGCTCTTCTGTTCTGAAACCACACCTCAACTTGTCGAGGCCTTAAATTCAGTTCCCTCGCCAAATCTTGCTTTTGCTTCTGCAAAATCAGCATATATGTATGTATATACACACGATTTAATTTGCCCTGTGAAATGATTGTTCAAATGTTAAAAAAAAAGAGCAAGGAATGTTATACTATTACGTGTGAAAATAAATCAACTAGCTAGCCACAGAGAGAGAAAGAGAGAGAGAGAGAGATGTTATCGGATTGAGAGTGCTATGCTGCTTGAAGCTTTCTTCCAAAAGAGCAGACTGAGCTTTTGTGAGGCAAAGCTTCTTCCTTCCATTAGAACCATCATCATCTTCGTCACTTACTCTTGAGGAAACTGTCTCGATCTCCACCTCTTCGCTGCTACCGAGCTCTCTCTCCCTCTTCACGCTATTGTTGGAAAAGGATGACACAGCACTATCTTGACGATGCAAGTCAGCAGCAGAAAGTGGAGGCTCATTATTGGAGGCCTTATTAGCAGAGTGACTGAGAGGAAGAAGGAAACATTTGTCTATAGTTGCAGCAGAGTTTGACATCCATTCATTCATGTCGTCAACAGATTTCGCGACCTTAAAGATTTTGTCATCAGATTTGACTCCCATTGCTGTCACAGACGCGTTTACAAGCCTTAAAGAATCCTTGAACAAGACATTGCAGTCTTTCAAAGCTGTCAAAGTTCTTGAATCTTTGACCTCAGAGATTGCCTTTTCATTAGCTGAAATCAAGTCCTCTAGTTGATTGATAGCAGCACGGAGAGAGAGGGTGAAAATTCTTGATGGGGTGGTCTTGATCTCGCCTAAATCGGTGGAGAAATTCATGCGGAGGCACCATATAGAGTCAAAACATGAGGTTGGTTTTGGAGTCAGATTGCAGATGGCACGAATTGCTCTATCTGGAGTTGAAGCTGAGAGTAACTCAAACTCTTTTTCTTGTATGAGAGCTATGGAAACTGTGATGATTGAACCGATGATAACCGTGAATAAGATGATGAAAAAGACGTAGCTCCTTATCTTCCTTTTCTGTCTCGAAGCTTGATCTTCCATCAGCTGCCTATCCTTATTGGTGACTAAGTTCATATTTGATTTCCACACTTTCTTATGGGATTTGTTTGAGAATAAGGAGATGATTCTTGTCGAGTGGGGATATGGACTAGAAAAGATATAGTAGCTGCTTGATTATCTTCCAAACAGACAAGTATAGATACTGTTCAAGTTTTGTGGAAATAGTCAAGTCAATTCTGGCCTCATCTATTATAAGTCTCTGAGCCAATGAAACAAGAAGTCAAACTTTGGGAAATTTTTAACCACGATCTAAGACCAACATGCAAGTAATTATGAAAGTGGCTCCATTCTATTTGACCCGTTTTTGGTTGAGTATAGAGTTGGATTTGACAGACCGTGCTTCTCACATGCAAAGTTCCGTTCAAATTAAATAGTTGTCCTTAATTTTCCGTCAATTGTCCTTGATTGACCAAAATTGCAGATCTTTGAGGATGAAATGTGTTTTGGGTGAAACTTTGAGGTGATATTAGTCAAGAACCCAAACTTTGAGGATGAAAAGTGCATTTTTCCCTATATATATATATATATATATAGTTATAGTAAAGTTTTTAAAAAGCACTTCTAAAAACAACTAATTCAAATGAAACTTATCTATTAAACTTTCTACTCGTACAGAACTATGAATACAACAAACACACACATACCCCATTTTTTAGTGTAACATAACTTTTAAAGAGGCAATAACTGCGAAAACTTCCTATTCAAAATAAAAAATGAAAAACACAATTCTTCCATCCATATTGGTAGGATATGTTACTACGTTACAAATTTTAAAACCTTATTACCCTATTCCGCAAGTGCATGATTCATTTATTGAGTATAGGGATAATAAATATCGATCTCACAAGGACTTAAAATTTAGCAATCACTTGAGTTTAATCAGTTGCTTTATTATCTAAGCAATCAAAGTTAAGGAAGTAAAAACAAAAAAAAAATTAACTAGATGGTAAAACGGGCCATGAAAGATGTTAGTTTAGACAGTACAACCGGCCATAAAAGTTAGAAGTTATGAATGTAAAACTGGGCATTAGGTGATAAAACCAACCATCTAGGGGGTATGTAACAAGAAAATAAATAAAAGTAAAGACAAGTTACATTAGAATTGTTTAAAGATTTAGTGAGAGGATCCCGTAAATTAGAATCCCCTATTATGTGAAGATTAGAAGTTAATTAAGGTGATTATACTTATACTTTCATAAATTGTCATAGGAATAACTTCCAAATGCATGTTCTTTGCTTTCACCATTGGGCATTTAAGAGCAACTGCAATAAATTTTCAAGGAATAACTTCCAAATGCATATCCTTTGCTTTCGCCATTGGACATTTAAGAGAAACTGCCTTGGTTAATTCCTCTATAAATTCGTTTGTCAAAAAAAAAAATTCCTCTATAAATTGTTTTTAGCAATTTCTTTAACTCCTTGAATTATCCTTCACCTATGTTCATAGAGAAAAGATAAGAAACAAGTTAAATAAGATCAAATAAATTATTGTATGAATTCAACCAATCATTATTCACTACTTTCGTGAGAATAAGGCTATGTTTAAGAATTTAGATCTATTTGAAGGCAACTTTCATTGCTCAACAATTATGAAATCTTTCATAGTTGATAGCCAAACAACTATAAAGCATAAGCACAAGTTCTCAAACTAAAATACCATGAAAAAGTATAATCATCTCCTAACTATTTCAAATCAAACTTCACCCTAGTGTATGAAAAAAAAAATTTAGTTAGACATCATATTAAGAGTATCTAAGCATGAAACAAACTTATAACAAATCATGGCAAATAAGAACAAGAGACAAAGTTTGTCTTA